CAGCTCTATTTTGAAATATGGTCACAAACTGGCCTGTGGCAAGATGCCATGTTTTAATTCCTTTCATTGCTCTGTATATGTACAAAACTATATACCTCCATTGCTTTTATTTATTTACATGTGTTGTGAAGCTGCCTCTAACAACAGAAACATTCCAAGGCAGCATACAAGATAAATGGAAGGTATAATAACAATGAATAGTAATACAGTAATAGAGTTCCATAGAAACAGTACTCAAAAATAAAACATTAACCTAGAAATGTATGGGAAAAGGCCAGTAACAATAGGTGGATCTTGCACTTTTCGGAAGATCTGACAAACCTCAAATAGAAATCCATTCCAATAGTGTGAAGTCCCTACTGAAAATGCCTTCTCTCTCTTGTACTCCTCTTTGATGGCAGGCAGGTAAGAAAGGTTTCTGTTGGTGACCTTTGACTACAGCAGACTGGTATGTGTGAAGGTAACTTGGGTCCAAGTCATTCTAGATTTTAACAGTTAAAACCAGCCCTTTAAAGTGGCCTAGAAGCACATTTAGCAAACAGTACATGGTATTGGTGCCAAATGAATCCGTCTTTCCTGGACTGAGCTTCACATTATTGGCCCCCATCCCGTCTATTACCCTAACCCAGGCACTGCCTCACCTGGATTTGATGTAAAAGGGAGGTAGAGCTAAATATCATAAGCATATTGCCAACATCTCAGCCCAAACCTCTGGATGACCTCTCCCTATGGTTTCATGTAGATGATAAAGAGCATGGGGGATAGTATAGAGCCCTGTGGAACCTTATGGCATAATTGCCATGCCATAGAGCAAGTATCCTCCAGCACCACCTTCTGGAGACAATCAGCCAGGTAGAAGAGGAACCACTGCAAAGCAGTGCCTCCAACCCCCAACCTGGTCAGTCTATCCAGAAGAACACCGTGGCTGATGATGTTGAAAGCCACTGAAAGATCCAAGAGAATCCACAGGGTTGCACTCTTCTGTCTCACTCCCAGCAAAGGCCATCCCACAGGGCAGCCAAGGCATTCTCCATCCCGAAACCTGGCCTGAAGCCCAACTGAAATGACAATCCAGAGAACCTGTTTCCTCCAGAAGTGCCTGGAGCTGCTCAGCCACCACCTGCTCGAACATCCCAGAAAGAGGATGTTTGCCACTGGTCTAGGATTGGGCATGTCACCTGAATCCAGGTTCGGTTGTTCAGGAGTGGTCTTATCACAGCTGCCTTTAAAGAAGCTCTTAAGGAGGCACTGACAGTCTCCTGGATCCAAGTGCGCACCCCCTCTCTTGGTCTATTAATAAGCCACAATGGGCAACGGTCGAGTAAACAGACGGTGGGATGAACAGAACCAGGTATCCTGTCCACATCATCAGGCCGCAGTAACTGAAATTCCATTAGGATCAGACCCAGTGGTACTCTACTTTAATGGAACTAAAACAACCGTGGAGTCTAACTCACAGTGGATCTGAGTGACTTTATCTTCAAAATATTGAGCAAATTTGACACAGTGAGCCCGAGAGTTCGAAGATGCCATTTACTGATCCAGGATGTAACAGACCCCAGACCACTTGAAAAAGCTCAGCTGAACACTGCGAAGATGCAATGCAGGTGGCAAAATATCAATGTTTTGCCAGCTTCATTGCCATAGAATAGGCTCAATAATGAGCTCTAAGCCGTGTTTGGTCAAACTCATTGCAGGATCACTTCTACCTGCTCTCTAGCTGTCTCTCCTCTTGCTTCATTGCCCTTCGTTGTGCACCACGGAGCTGGTCAGGCTCTATAAGGGTGGAGAGGGCATTTAGGCACGATCAGCCAACTGCTCAAGGCATCTCCATATTCCACAAGATGACTTGGACATCAACAGGAGTGCAATAATATCAGCCAGATATTCCCCCAGAGCCTGCAGGAAACATCTGGATTCATCAGCCTCTGGGGGCAGACCATCTTAATAGCTCCCCACCCTTACAGAGGGGAAAAAGAGCCAATAATCTAAACCTCACCAGGAAGTGGTTTGCCCATGACAACGGCCACCATATTCCTGCCTGGTTGAGAAAAACAGTTCAAGAGCATGCCCCTTCCCAATGTATGTGCCCCTTTGACCATAGGTCTGACATCCTGAACAGCTCCTTAAAAGCTTGGAGAAGATACATAGTCCTACTGACAGTGAACCTGCCAGTCATTTGTTTTCAAATTCTTACCTCTCCCACTTCCCTTTTCTGCTTTAGAAATTAATTTAGTCTTTCTTTTTCCCCCTTAAATGAACATCTTGCATTTATGTACCACCTTCTTTTCATCTCCACGATTACACAATGCTAGAAGGCTGTCCTCTACCTGCTGCCTGTATGTTATAGACATGCATTTGCTCTGTCCTGTACTAGCCTTTGAAGGAGTACTCTTAGTACATGAGAGGAGAAACTTCTGGCTTGCGAGAATCTGCTGTCATTTATTAGAAACCAGGGCCCCCCAAATGGAACCTGTAGCAACATGGCAATCCAGTATGCAGATATATAATTAGAACTAGGAGGCAAGACAACACTTGTATCTGGAGCCCAGCACTGCCCCAAGGAAGAATCAGATTTGGACCAATTGTAAGCCCTTCTGTGCAGAAGCTAGGCCTAGGCACCTCCTTCTATACCTTCCTGGGCTGCAGGTGTGGCTCTGCCACTGTCCTGGAGCCATGGGTGGAACTGGAGACAGCTTTGCATTTACAGCCAGCTATACATCACCCCCAAAATGACCTGCTACATGGATTGCTATGAAATGCATACAACTTTCTAGCACTTATGCATAGGCTTTAACAAAAGCAGTCTACATATCCAAACAAGTATCCATTTGGAGTTGACCCTCTATGCTACCGATTCATAAATTAAGAGTTCTATAAGGTCCTCAGTCCACTGCAGTATAGGGTAAGGTTGTCGATGAAGTGCATCATAGGAAGTGAGTGTTTGCACTTGCCATTTTGTAGTATTAGCCTTTTGGCTATCAAAAAGAGTATTTCCCTCTCTAGTTCTTAATTTCCACAAAGCAGGTAAATTACAGAATGTGCACAAAATGAATATTTAAGACTATTTCAGTACAAAATGTATCTGTACGAAGTTTCTCCCCAGATGAAGCAAGAACTGAACATTACCAAACCATGTGTCTAAAAGAAGTACTGGCTATATTGCACCACTAGCACTTAGTTGAATTAGACAATTCTTTATTAAAGAAATAGATGAGTGCTGAATAAATACAAACAGTTTGCAGAATAGTATGCTGCCTAGGATCCAGAGCTGTGATAGGTAGATACCAATGTGGCAGTCTACTGAGTAGCCATTTTGTGGTGGTACTCACAGAATGTCTCAAACTCCCAAATGTTCCCATGGGTCCAGGAAGGTTGGGTACCCCATCCCAACCTGCTACAATAGACAATATCAGAAGGTTATGATTACATAGTCATATATACCACTGCAGAGAATTACTGTTGTCCATTTAAGTTTGCAGCATAGAGCTATTAATAGGCAAGCTAATTTAATGAAAAGGCAGTATTAGCTGACATTTATTAATGAATTCAAGTATACGTAACAGCACACAATTAGCTAGATTCTAGCTCCACCAAAAGAAACAATGATGCTGTGATTATTCAGTTTTACCCATTAAAGCAGATGCATTAGCTACAGGTTGTCAGAAATGTTAATTTTGTTCCTCCCCACTTCCCCCAGATTACTTGTAATTTCAAATTTAAGGTTATAACAATTTCTAAAGCAGAAAACTTTACAAAAAGCATCCAAAGAGCTGAAACTGAAACAAACCTGGTGCTTGATGCCTCGTACAAGATGCTACATTTCAAAACAGGAAAACAAGACTTAGACATGTTGCTGAGTAAACTGTTAAGCAAGATTGCTAGGTAATAATTTTGAAAATCATGATTAGGGTTTTGTTTTCTAAAAAGGACACAAGGTAACAGATTTGTTTAAATAGAAATTATTAACAAATCATTAACATAACTGAAGGTTAACACAGATAATTATTTACCAAAGCAGGCATATAACCCCATAAGGAGCATCTGCCCACTTGGCAAGTATTTTACCACACATTCATAGCCAAAGTCAAAGCCAGGAAATTTTCAGAAATAAAGTTCTCTTCGTTATTTAGACAGATGCTCACCACTTGGTTGTACACCCACCATATAAAGTTTCCATCATGTGAGTTGGGCAACTATAGCCCTCTTCTTTGTGTTGAATATGATGGGCAAATAAACCTTCACAATCTTTAGAGGAAAAGAAGCAAAATGGCACCTTCTGAACTAGACAGTCTAGGATGCCAACACTATTTCAGAAACTTCTTCCAACAGCAGAGACAGAAGAGTGAGGAGAGTTCAACTGCAGATGCTGGCTGTGGAAACAAGCCACAGTTGCAGCAGGGCCAAGGAAGAAACCAGTGGTGGAGGAAAGACTCTTGTGTTTCAGCTTAGGCAGCAATGAGGCTGCAGTTACTCCAAAAAAGAAACCAAGCCATAAAGGAAGGAATCTTTAGAAAACAAAACAAGACTGAGCAGCCTCCAAGTCTTACCTGGTGTGACACCTACCTAGAACTTTACAATGTTAATTGTAAATTTAGCAAAATAGGACTAGAGCTTTTATAGAAGACCAGTGAATAATCTAATGGTGTAATACATTTACTTGTTATGAAATAAGGAAATGCTGAAGAGCTCACTCCTGCCACAGTGCTTCCTGTATGTTGAATTATATCTCAAAATATGGGATAACATCTTCACCAAATTTTTTACATAACACTTGAGAGGGACACACATTGCTGAGTAAATGTAATAATTCTAACAAATAGGTGATATAAAGACATGTTGTCAGACAATGCTATGTCATCTTAGCATCACAAAGGAAAAATATTACTTTATTATGAAATGTAGTTGCTTTATAAGAACGGAGATAAATTCTACAGGCACTCCTGAGAGAAGAGTTATGAAAGATTTTATCCATATTACCAAAAGGAAACAAAACTTACTTTTTCATCATCATCAGTGAAAGGAGCACCTCCAGGAGTTTTATTTATCGCTTGTGCAACACCAATAATCTCATCCTCACTGTTTCTTATGGGCATACAAAGCAACGACTTGGTCTTGTATCCTGTCAGTTTGTCAATCTCATCATTAAAGCGACGATCCTACCCAAAGAGATAAGGAAAATATTAAGATTAGAACCCAAATGCTCCTAAAATGTGCTTCTTTGCAACCAACATACTGCAGTGGTTTCATCAAACATTTCCTGTGTCAAATCCACTCACTTGCGATTGACTTTCCACATACCTGTTTACTATGCAAGATTAACTCTGAGATATTTTTGCAGTACACACTGTAATATATGCATATGCCTCCATATTTTGTATTCCTAGGCTTGGGTAGACTCCGGGAGATGGTGGAGGACAGGAGAGCCTGCAGAAATGTTGTCCATGGGGTCGTGATGGGTTGGACACAGCTTTGTGACTAAACAACAAAAGCTGTATTACTTTCCAGGTGTTCCTTTTTACTGTTTTTCTTCCCTTTTATATATTGCTCTGTTATACTGCCCCAACTGCAGACTTAAAATGGCACATTTTAAAATGAGTGTAGTGAAACATACAGAGGTATACCCCACCACAGTCTCTAACACATATTTGTAGTAACAATGTGACCAATACAAAAATATAATTGCAGTCTTTTTACAAGTTTGCCTCAATTCAGGAAATCAATCCCATTGCCTTGTTTAAGAGGTGACTGGTGCAAAATTTCAGGGCGGGCAATAACCACACCATTTACTTAGTGTATGAGGTGATTGGCTGTCTTCAGTCTCTTGCACCATAGATCAGCTCACAAAAGTTTCAAGTGGCAGCAAGTTGCTCTGTGGTACAAAGCTTCTATCAACAGCAGTGCTATCAGAAACATCAAAGAGCAGCTGCCTGCATCACACTGCATTGTATTTTATTGTATTTTTTTGTGTTTGTAAGCCGCCCCGAGGCTTCGGCAAGGGGCGGCATAGAAATGTTCTAATAATAATAATAATAATAATAATAATAATAATAATATCACACTGTATATCCTGGCTACAGGGGTTTTGCTAGAGCTACGTATTTCCAAGTATAGATTGATTGCACGGGAGCAGGGTGATGATAAGGGATTGTATGTAGAACAGAGAAATAACTGCATCTATTACACCACAATGGATTGTTATCAGTCTATTGGGGGAGAAACACTAGAATGGACAACACCTTCCTTGACCCAAGATGTGCAATGTGAGAGCACTACTACCCTCAAACTGCACCATGAGAAAAAAAGCAGAGTATTAGCTACACACACACAATGTTATTTCTTTTCAGTGCAGAGCAATGAAATTGAGAGAATGTTAAGATACCATCTCATTTAGCAAAAAGCAAAATCATTCTTTCCCTCTTCTCTTCCTCCCAAGGGATTGTGGAAGGCTTAACTCTCACATTCTCATGTTTGAAGGGAGAAAAGGAAGTAGACACTTAGGTTTCATCTTACCCAGGACAGAAGTACTGTTTCCCTCTGCTCTCCTCTCTTACAATATAATGGGAGCTAAACTTCAGAGTGATAAACATGTGCACACACATGCACACATAGAAACAGAGAGAGCTCTACAATACCTTGTTTGTTCTTTCGTATCCATGATAAAATTGTAGTGTCTGTGTTGCACAAAGGTAAACTCTGAAGACTCCAAAGCATTTTAGGTTTGTCAAGGAAATGCAAATTCTAAAAGAAACAATTTACTGTATAGCCACAGTAGATGGATCAAAAAACAACAAGAAGACTATCAACCTATTTTTTTTACACTAGTTAGTCTTGCACTGTTTTGCTCACTTTATCTAAATTTTGACCATACTTTCAGTCTACGAGATTCTTCAATTGTTCTAAGACATCTGATATTTCTCTCTTGGCTGATCAGTCCAACTCTCTATGATAACCTTTAATTAGATTTCATTCCCCCTAGAAAAAAACCCCCACTCTGGTAGAGGTTTACTTATGGAAGATAAAGAAACTACACTGCCTAATTAATATTTCCTTTCTTTACAGGGGATAAAGTAGATCCCAAAGGACCTTATTTAAGATTCATCCACCTAACTGAAGGAAATAAGACATGTTTTTCCTAACCCTTTCTCTTCCTATGTTACTGCTACATCACTTTTCCCAACACTGGTCTTCTCTCCGGATTTGTGAACTCTTTCTTTAAAAGGAAACATGTCCCTTCAAAAAAGAACAAACTTCATTTTTATTTTATTTTTCAAAGAAATGCTAGAGAAGCATTTTCCAAGTTCAGCAACACATCTCTCCATACATTATCATGCACAGGCATTTATTTTATACTGTGTTACTAGCTTCCTTTTGGAATGAAACTGTTCCTCACAATGCTACCCTTGCACAGATTTGTCCATTGCATTAACTCCTTTCTTCCAGTTATAAATAGTGTGTTTTAATGAAATGGGAAATGTACAAAATACTGTGGGATTTAATATTAAAATACACCCAGTGTGGAAGGGCAATGTCTATTTCACAAAGTATGTATCTAGTAATTATATATCTAGTAACATTTTATAAACTATTCCAGAGACTAGACATCTCTAAGAAATGTTGCTTGCTCTTCCAGTGTTCCATTGGCACCCATTTTAAATTACTTGTGTATATGATTGCATCTTAAAAGAAAAAAAATCTAGAAATAAGCCACACACATCTGTTATACTTTGGTGTGCACATATGAATCAAGACAGGAAATTCCCCCCTTCTCCACCCTTCAAAGAGGCAAGTTAAGGAAGAGGTCTTATGGTACCAGTAAATCCAGCCATCAATGGACTAGATCCAAGCAAAGTTTCCTACAACTAGATTCCCCCAGAAATCAGTGTGAAATGCTAGCCATTGATTTCAATTGGACCTAAGTATAACTACTGTGGGGCACACCAGGATAAAATTTATTGTACAATTGCACTGTCTCGCTGACAGAATTTTACAGGCATCTCAAATATTTCATCTTTCATTTGTAACTGTCAGTTCCTCTTCAACTGGAATGCCAAGGCCAGAGGTGATCAAGGTAGAAGAACTAAGAATGACACAGACAAGGGTCAGAGAGACATAGAGATGATGACTATGTCAAGAACAAGTTTAGGGTTAAATACTGTCAAGGCATGGCAGGACTGAAGGCAAAGTTAGAAACACACACACACACACAAAATTAGAGGTCTGTAGGCAGAAATCAAGTGAGAACCACCAAGCAGTCACCACCAAAACAAAAACAAAAAGCATCTGTTCCACTACCAATCACAAGATGGCACTGTGATATAGAGAAGAACTGTGAAAATACACTCAGCTTCTGTACAGAATAATGGTACCATCTAGGAATATACCAGACTTTCCTTGGTTTAAAAGAAGCAGCGGCTAGACAACACTGAAAAGGCCCTGGGATGATTACATCATGAAAAGGCCTTGCAAACTCCCATGACTAAGTGTTCTAAGTGCACAATAAATGCCTAGTATAGAAAAGTCCGGAATCAATTATAGGCGTTGCAAGTACAGTGGTACCTAGGCTCATGAATGCCTCAGTTCATGACCAAATTGGGTCGCGAATAGAAACTTCAGAAAAAATTTGCCTCAGTTCATGAACTCTGCATTGGGTGACGACCACAATTGTGACCATGTTGCCGCACAAACATGATTGAGATCGTGGCCATCTTCCCTGCACGAGCGTGATTGTGGCCATCTGCACCCCCTCTAAGCACAACTGTGCCTGTCTTCCCTGCATGAGAGCAATCACGCCCCTCTCCCCGCCACCCAAGCATGATCGCGATTGCGCCCGTCTTCCCTGCACGAGCATGACTGCAATCATGGCCATCTCCCCCCCCCCGAGCATGATGGCTATCGCACATTTGGACTCTCCCTCCAAACAATAACCTCCCCCCACCAGGTTAGTGTTGCAACTGTATTGTACTTTGTTACTTTGTTGTTCTCTGTTACTTTGTTTCAAATTTTTGTGTAAAAATATATTTACAGAACAGATTAACCTTATTTACATTGAACCTTATGGGGAAATTTGACTTGGCTTGCGACCAATTCGGGAATGAGTTGTATCAGATTACATTATATTTGCATCAGTATACCACTGTATCAGATTACACTAGCAAGTTTTTGCTATAGCAGCAGCTGATCTCATTTTCTAAGAACAAAAAACCTGCCTGTAACTCTGAGCTGCCTCCTATCTTGACCAAAACACATGGGCATCTCAACTAGCATAAAGCAGAAATGCAGAGAAACACGACAATCAGTATGTTACCAAAGCTGGAGCTTAATTTGGGTGAAGTATTAGTGAAAAGGAGTTCTGGAGAGCTAAAATATAGCCCAACAGTGAGTTTTGGATTCCACCCCCCATGAATGTTTTTAAGGTGTTTTCTTGCTTCTCTCCAAGATAATACATTTAATACATTAAAAAGTCTTAACTGATCACAGAAAGGCAGTATAGAAATACTATAAATAAATGTTTGGATGAACATTTTGTTTTATGAACATCTCAACAAAACACCTGGTCAGTCTTGGGTGCAGTACATAAAATAAATCTAAGTAAGTTATTTGTTGCTGTCAAGCTGTCTCTGACTTAGGGCAGCCCTGTGAATGAATGCCCTCCTTGATGGCCCTGTTCAGCCCTTGTAAACACAAGGCTGTGGTTCCTTTTGGAACTGATGCTTCTCACAGTTAGTCTTCCTCTCTACTATGGTTGTCTTCTCCAGCATTTCTTGCTTTCTTGTGGTGCACTGGAAATACGATAGCTTCAGTTTCCCCTTTTGCTTCTAGGGAAAGTTTCGGCTCGATTTGATCTAGGACCCACTTCTTTGTCTTTCTGTTAGTCCAGAAAGCCCACTTCTATGTCTTTCACAAACCTCTCTTCCAGCACCATGTTTTGAACACATCAATTTTCTTCTTGTCAGCTTTCTTCACTCTCCAGTTTTTACACCCATACATAGTGATCCAGAATACAATAGCATATATGCCCTTCACCTGTGAATTTTTTTTCTATTTTCTCCTCTGCTGTCCTTCCAAGTCTCAGTTCTCCTCAAATTATTGACTGAGCATTTATTTGAATGGATGACTGAGCCAAGACATGCAAAATCTTTCACAATTTCAATTTCTT